TATAAATATTTTAATCATAATTTTAGTCAAAATATTGAAAATATCTTTTTAAATTATACATATTAAAATAAAAATGTTTTGTTTATTTTTTATTTAAACAAAACTCGGTATCTCTTACATCGAATTAAATGAAATTTTTTAAACCATTTCGCCTTAAGGTGTATCCTGTTTTGTTTAAAAGTTATGGTTGTTTTAATTAAGCTTAGCAGCCCGTGATCTTTTGGGAGCATTTCGTCTTGATTTTTTCCTCTGGGCTTAAAAATGTTCGCTTTAAAAAATTAAAACTCATTTTTTTGCTATATTTGACTCGTTCGTCATCTAAAAGTACTTTTTCCTTCGTTTAATTAACATGGCTTATTGGTATATATTTGAAAATACAGCATCAATAAGTACAGGGGAAAATTAAATTTAGTACGATTGCTATAACTTTGGGAGAAGTTGACTTAATTTTTAAGACCATAAAATATTTCCAAATGCATGGTGTCCAAAATTGTAATTTTATATCTAAACCTATTTCCTAGTTTTTTCAATTATCTTTCAAACTTATAGTAGGTAGGTATATGAATATGAAACAAAGCACCTTATACATTGTGTAGGTACTTATTTAATGTAAAAATATCTTAACTTGAATTCATAGTTTTTGTGCTAGTTTTTTATTTCTCCTAAAAATTTGCATAATGGACAAAATGCATTTTGAAAGACTGCTCCTCAAATGTTACAAAATAGGTTACAGACTTTAATAACCATTAGTTAACATTTGACCCACTATTAATATTTCGTTGGGTATTAATTGATAAAAGTAAAAAATTCTAATATTCAGAATGGATATGTAATTTTATAGTAACGTGTCATAATTAAATTAACAATGTATTACTTTTTTAATTTAGAAGAAATTACAATTTTAATTTTAAGTTATATTAAATCTGTTCACAACATATTAATAAATACCTTTCACGTCAGATCAAACAGTGCAGTTCACCACATCGACTCTGATTTTCGTCAAATTTTGTGTAGATTATATATAGGCTAGGATAATATAATAATATAATATAAAGGTTTTACGATAATTAATTACCGAGAAATTGATTATTGTTTGTTTTTTATTTTTTCGCAGAATGTGCCATGTTTTTCTTAATTCCTTAAATGGGTGTAACTCTTTACCTGTAAAGGTTATTAAAGTAAAAGTTTGTTTCTAGGGGCAACTTTTAAAGATAATTTCAAAAATTGAATCAGAATTTTTGGTATTATTATTGTTTTTGCAAAATGAAATTTGACATGTTTGATCAGGATATATTTTAAATTTTTATATGTTTTAAAGATGGTACACCACTACTTCCAGAAAAAGCTTTTATTTTTTACGCCTAGGAGCTAAACAAAACATGTTTGAACTTTTATATGACTATATAGTAGTAGTTTTTCAAAAGTTAAAGATGACAGATATAAATAATAAACCATATGAACCGAAAATACGAAACAAAATAAAATGGAGCCTACATAAGGAGGCGTACTGACATTTGTTGTTTCGGTACAAACCATCAATAATAATAATAATAATAGTTGATAATAATATAAAAGTTGAAATGTAAAAACTCATCATATGAATAAAATGCATTTTTTTTAATAGTATATATTTAACCGCCGACTTAAACGACCTAGGATCTTTGGTTTTTATGTTTTCTGGCAATTTAATAAAATATTTAGGAGCAACAAAATTTATATGCTTCTGCTTTTTGTTAGTCTGCCGAGTGGCAACGTTAATATGTCGCTATTCCGCGTAGTGTGAGTGTAGTTGGTTTTGTTTAAAATAAATTTATCCATGTTTATTTTAGTATAGTAAGTATAGTAAGGATACCTAGTTCTAAAAACTTGGCTCTACAGTTTTCAGAATATTTTAGTTTCCCAACTATTCGCACAGCCTTAGGTTGTGGGGAAAACAATCATTTCCAGCCCGCAGCTTGCCCCCTCACCAATATGGCATACGACAAAAGAGAGTGACCCAATGAAAAATAGGCTGTCTTAAGAACATTGCACTCAACGACGCATTAACTACATGTTCTTTTCCATTTATTTACAATAATGATGGTATCATCAGCGAACAAAATGTGATTAGCTGTGTGGTTAAAATTGGGTAAATCATTGAAGTAGATTAAGAAAAGCAATGGTCATCCATTCAGACATTAACCCATTTACTCTAACCTGCTGTACACGATCTGTTAAGTAGTACCTAATCATATTAATAGCATTAGTTGTGAAATTATAGCTTTTTAGTTTTCCAAGCAATACTTCGTGAGTTACACAGTCGAACGCTTTGGACAAATCACAAAAAACAGCAACCAGATGTTCATGTTTTTCGAAAGAGTATAATATATTTTCAAACAATTTTTTTTTTTTTTATTATTTTTAATGTGCTTTCAACAGGCACCAGGCCCAATTACAGAAATACACAATGACAAACACAAATAAACAACCATACCCCTGGTGGGATTCGAACCCACGACCTCTCGGCTTGTAGTCCGCAGTGCTAACTACTACACCACCGAGGGCGGTAAAACACAGCCAGTGTAGTATTTTTATTATTTCTAAAACCAAACTGATTTTTATAAAAAAAGACTATTTTGTTCAAAGTAGGTTATAATCTGTGTTGCTACTAGCAACTTGCTAGCACTTTTTCAAAGGTTTTGGAAATTATTGGTAAGAGTGATATTGACCTATAATTGTTAAGGTCTTTAGGATCTCCTTTTTGAAAATAGGAATAACCAAAGCTTCCTTTAGTTTGTTCGGAAATATCTTTTTTTCATTACATAAATTAACTAATTTGGTTATTGGTTCAATTATAATATTACTTACACCCTTGAGAACATTGGTACTTAAACCATATACATCTTACAGTATTAGAAGAATTCAAATTTGAGAACTGGTTCAATGACAACATTGAGAACCTCTTCGTTTGGTTTTATTTTGTTTACCAAGTTCTATACTATATCAATAAAATATTAAACCTATTTGGAGAAATGTTATGTTTTTTAGGTTATTTCGTTTATCACTAATAATTTCTCACATATGTAGTTTTTATAGCAGAATTTGAGTTTTTTATTAAATAGTCATTTGCTCTTATTTTTGCAGTTTGAATAGCGATTTTATATTTTTTCTGGTAATTTAATTTTTTTTACGAGTAAATAAATAAATAATATTAATAAATAAATAAAGACTCCGAGCGTTTATTTTTTACATAAATCATTTATGAAAAACAACTGATTTCTCATAAGCTTCAAGTTATCATTAAACCAGTTCTGGTTATAAGATAAGCAAGATTTACAATTTTTTTAAATAAATAAATAATATTAATAAATAAATAAAGACTCCGAGCGTTTATTTTTTACATAAATCATTTATGAAAAACAACTGATTTCTCATAAGCTTCAAGTTATCATTAAACCAGTTCTGGTTATAAGATAAGCAAGATTTACAATTTTTTTAACAGGAAAAGAGTGAAGAAAAGAGTTTAAAAGCTGTTTAATAAATCTATCAAATTTTCATTTACAGATAAGTTTTTACATTTTATAAAGTCTCAAGAAATACTTCAAATTTCATTGATCATAAATTTAAATGTAAGTTTATTTTCGAAAAAATATGGACTACATTTTTAAACAATTTGGATAGTAATAAACTACGGATTGTTTTGTAGGGGGGTATTTGCAGATTTCCTCAACACTTATATCAAAAATAACTGTTATCTACGAATCCCACGTTAATTATCAATAATGACAGATAAGTTAGCTTATGCTGTCTCATATTTTTGTTTTATATGGTCATTGTTACAGCTTATTTTTGACACCTGTCACCTTAATCAATTTGACATGTGTCACCTGAAACACGACCATTTTTGGTCACATGAAAGTTGAAGCATTTTTTTCTCAGCTCTTAAAAACATGTTCTTCTGATCAAACATTTCGAAAAAAATCTTAATTTTTTTTAGCATGCTCATTATCGTATAACCTTTAAAATTAAGATTTGTGGTTATCCTAATCTACACAAAATTTTTCCATTATTGTGTTCGATTTGGCGTGAAATGACGCCTATACATTTTATGCACTTGTAATAAAAACTAATTTTAATCTTAAATCTAATTATTTATAACCACTCTTTGTTTTTGTTTTTCATACATTTCTAGTTAATTTAACTTTGTACGTTGGCACTCCGAAACTATTAAATGTGTTGAAGACATATTTACAACGTTTTAGTATTTTTTCAGTTGATTTTGTTATTCCTACAAGGAATAGTTGCCAAAAAGCACACGTATGCTAAATATACTAGTTTGGTAATCATTACTAAATACAAAAGCCCCACTCCTAAAATCTTAAAGCTGTCCCCAATTTACTGGATTTTTTAGTAACCATTTCCAAAGCAGTTATCTTTGTATATATATTTTAAATATATTGGATGACTTTAAAAATGATTAGGAGGGAAGAGTAGTACTTTTAGATGACTACGAGTTTTATATAGAACCTAGTGTACACGCTTTATTATATTATTATCTGCGCACTTTAACAGCACCTTAACTTAGTTTCTTAACCTACCTAAGGATATAAATGAAATGGAATGTCAATTCGGCAGTGGCAAAGTTTTGCGGCAAGAGTAAACAAAAAGAAAGTATAAAAGTCAATAAGAGTTTTCCAACTTTAACTGTAAGCAGATTGAGGAGCTTTTAAAAGTGTCACTGCATTGGGAAAGTAGTAACGTGCAACGCGCTCAGCTTTTGTGTTTATCTTCGGAGAAATCTCGGAAAACGTTCGTTCGTTTTATTTTTCTGTTTTGCCTTTAAATCATATCTGATATACTTTACATAAATGTAAAATTTTATGTCGTCTATATAAACATTTCGCGGAAAAAAGGAAAACTATCCTGTAAACATGTAAATACATGCAGTTTTATTATGCGCTTTCTTGTCCTTTAAGTAAAAAACATAAACTATATGAAAAAGATTTATTACATTTAGATTTAAAAATTCTTTTGTTTTAAGTGTTAGCTTGTTGTTTTAACAATGATTTAATCATACACATATCTTCAGCGGCCACATAAAACATAATATCCATATACTCCTTTAACTCCTTAAGATCATCAAATTTAATAAGAACAATATTGCTTTTTTGGTAATAATATCTCAGCATGAGTTGACTCGGGGTCCTTTTATACCTCTGAGCAATTTCTTGAATATTTGTATTTTTTAATATATTTGTAAACCTAGAAAATATCCACGGTTGTTTAAAAGGATTCCTTAATCCTAGCTGTATTGTTCTTATGTTTAAATCACTTTGGATGTTTAGTTGGTCCATATATGGGTGATAATCAAGCTAAAATTAATTTATTTTAATTTCTAGTTCATTACAATGTGCATTAATTTCTATACCAATGTTTTTAAACAAAGAAATGACATCATAGTATGAATATACTATATTTAAATTTTGTGGACAAGACGTTCCAACAGAGTTTGACATCATAATAATACCTTTTTTTTTAATTACATGCGAAATTTTTTTTAAGTCTCTTCTAAATCATTCATGGGAATTGTGCCAAAGTCAAGGCATGCCTTGCAAGTCAAAATAAATAGGTTTTTTTCTTAATCAATTACGACTTGCATTTTTATGGCAAATACAGATAGGAAGCATTGGCCTTAGAACCTTAAGAAGCTAAATTTAGCATGCTGTAGAAAAATTTATCCATTTTTCATTTATTTCGTTGTCACCTATTTGACAGGTACTAAACAGTTGTTAGTATTGTTATAAATGCCTGCTCAGTTTATGAATATGCCTCCTCAGTGTATGGTCCTCTAGGATTTAAGACAGAACGTGTATAAAAAATTGATCAAATTTGAATAAAACTAGTCTATAGTCTATAATAGATATTTTATACCATGATGTCGGATATTTGTTTAGAAATTTGTATTGCAATGTGTTAATAAATACAATTAACAAACCAAATAAACTGCTGGAGTAATTGTACAAATTTTAAGTAAAAAATTAAGATTTTTTTCGTTAAAATTACAAACACCAATAGCTTTAATAGTTTCATTTTTGTAGAGCCTCTCCATTTCTTTCCAGGTTTTATTACAATCATCCTTTAAATATAACACGATTTTTATGTTTTACAAGTTAAATTTAAAATATTAGGTAGGTACCTCGTCAAAATCCTCCATTTCAATATAAACCAAATCCAAATAATCTAACTGTAAATTATTTAAGGCCTTTTTGACACCATACTCCATAAGTTCAATATTTTGTACAGATTTTTTCAATTTTAAACTAATAAATAAATCCTTTCTTTTTAATACGCCTTTTTTAATTTTTTCTTTTATAATTTCTCCTATTTTTATTTCGTTTTCGTAAAAATGACTAAAATCAAAATATCGAATTCCCAATTCTATAGCCTCGTTCAGCAGGTGTTTTATGTTGTTTTCTGGATGATTTGGATCCTATTAACACAAAATAAAGGTTTCAATACGATAAAAATGTTTTATATTTTATCTAATCTTTAATTTTATCTTGTTTTATTGTTCTACATAAACATTAAATTAATAATATCACCTAATTTGGTGGTTTGTATTTTAAATTTCAACAAATATTTCATAATATTAATTTTGTTAACATACCTGCCACAACGCCATACCCAAAAATGGTATATAACTGCCATTATTTAATGAAATTAATGAAATACTCGACATTTTAATGTAGGTATTTCACAAATGATAATTGTCATTGGCTTATTGTTTATAAATTAAAACTACTCTGCTATTTGAGTCACATTATATTATTGATTATTAATAATATCAGTGATAATGAGATTAATAAATTCGTGGAAATGTTTGCTAAATTTTTGTTAATGAGGCTAAATACATGCGATAAAATTACATAAATAAAATAGTATATTATGTATCAAGTTTTATAAACGCTATTTCAGTTACGAGCTTGCAAGCGAGTGTTTAATAAATACGAGTTTCTAGAGAAGTTTATAAACGAGTTGCATACTAGACTTTAACACGAACACAAAACAAAATTTAAAGCCAATTTTATTTTTTATAAATTTGTCAACTGTCACCCTAATTTAACCTCACTTTTTTCAAATTTATAATAAAGCCCGTGACTAAAACGCCATAAATTCACAGATCGTCAATGTATGAGTAGATAATAGTATATTATAAATCCAGTTAAACGCCATTTTAGTCACGAGCGAGCTTGCGAGCGAATGTTTAATTAAATGAGTGCCTAGAAAAGTTTATAAACGAGTAACATACCATACTTTTTCCACGACAAATATTAATTATTTGTGTAGAGCGACATCTATAAAAAATAGAGTAACTCGTGTAGGGGAAGGTGGGGGAATTCTGCGCGGTGGGTAATTTTACGCATAAACAATTCTTCAAGATATGAAGTAAATAATACATTTTTTGAATGTTGCAAACTTGGAAACGTTGCTTTGGGTATACGGGGACTAAAGTGTACCGCAATTAAGCTTGTAGCTTTTAGCTAGTGACCATGGTCACTAGCTAACTGTGATACATGTACGTTGATCTAAGAAATCCATGTCGTTTCCGCTACGAGTTAAGTTTAAATTTCTGTCCAATCGCTTAAATGTTTATAACACAACTTTATATGATCTTTCCTCGTAATCTGGTATATGTTTAAATTGTTCAGGTTAACTTTTGGAAAGTTTTTTAGTATCACAATATTTTTCTTGCAATGGGGGTAATTTTACGCTGAAAAATTGGGGTAATGGGAGCTTTGGTATACAGAAGCCTAGATTGTTCAGCATAAATAGTTCCATTTGGGCACACGCAGAGTGTAGCGAAAAAAAAGCCCCTAAAACTACATATGTGACAAATGCTGCATGTAGACCCTCTTATTTCTAAGAAGAAAAATTTTATTTTTAGTTATTTATTTTTAATTTTGTTTGTTTCATAGAGAAAATAGTTTTGTTTTATTTTTATGTTTTATTATAATAATATTATAGAAATAAACGGTTTATTTAGATACCTACAAATCTTTCTCTATACAGCGCAAATTTTCCCACTATGATGCGCAAAATTACCCTGATAGGTGTGTAATTTTGCGCAAATGCATTATTTAAAAAAATGTAGTTTTTGCATACCAAACATTTTTTTTTATAAATTGCGCATTATATACACATAGTAAACATAGTAGACTATCGCTGGTATTAATTGCAAAATTTCACATTTAAACTTAACAAAGATACTAGAGATTTTGCTTAGATGCGCAGAATTCCCCCACCTTCCCCTAAGTATTTTTAACTTGGTAATCTGTTACCGGCGCGCCGATCAAAATGTCAATTTTTTTATGAGCAAATCAAAATTTAACGCGGACTAACCACCGTTTATATCTGATAAAGAAGAACTTTTTCACAGTGATAGTGAAGAGGATTTTTGATGGGGGAAGTCTTCACCCAAAATGTTTAACGCTTTATTGGTTAAATCTAGTTTACCGCCGACGAAATCAAAAGGTCAGTACAAACACATATAAACTTTTCAAATAGGTATTGGCGTTGAGAAACTATTTTAAAACTTGTTATTTTTTTATTCAGATTATAACATAATTTCCTCATTATTATTTCACAAGAAGGGCACTTAATTTTAACGATTGTATGGCATTTGACAACTGTCAACTAACTTAAAGCCAACTTCAGCCCGTGACTAAAACGCCATAAAGCCATAAGTGTAATAGAAACATGTACGTTTTAAAGGAGGCAATAGAAAAAAATATTTAAACTTGTATTAAAGTTCACAAAAAACACTGTTAAAAAAGTTTTTTGAAAAATAGTTAATAGGTATTTTAACAAAAATAAAAACATTTTTGAGACATTGTATAATCAAAAATAATTTCCCAGAATGTACTTATCTTATCAAGCAAATTAGGCAAAATTCTCTTAAGAAATACTTCATTTGATCTTTTTAAATAAAGGATTAAGTGGACTTTTCTATTTGTAGAAAACCCGGTATAATTATTAAATTAGGTACATGTTAAATTTACTATAGGTTATACTTAATTTGCACATCCAATTATTTTAAACTAAAGAAATAAATGCTGTTTGCCCTTCATTACGCCAATTAAAATAAATTTTAATTATACTTTTTTTAAGCACTCCGGTATTTAAAACAGTATCGATCAAGTAAGGGTTAAAAGGGTAAATTTGCCGCCCTCAAGGTGTGTGCGTGCTACCAACTTAACGGCTTGAATGCTGGCATGTGGTCACTTTAAATATAGACTCATTATATTTATACTGTTTACCGATGGTTAGTCCAGATTGTCCCATCTAAGGTGGCGTTTTTTTCGCCTGTCTTCGAGACCAAACAGAAAACACGGATTGAATTAAAATGGGACGTGGATAAATTGAAAAAAGGTTACGAATCTACATGACACGCTTTTTAAACGAGATAAAGAAAAAGTTTCGTTTGGATACTACGTTAATCAATTATGGCCACACATGATACATAGAAAAAGTTTAAATAGTTAACTTTTGTTTTCTTACTAAACTTTGGCAATATTTTTTTCATAACATGTTTTTAAATAATTTTGACATTTCATTTATTTTTTTCCCAAAGTAAATAATTTTTTGAGACAGTTTTATAAAAAATTGTTTTAATTTTGGATCTTTTCATTTCTAGGATTTTTACTCACCATTCTATTTTTGTTTAAAAAGTTTCTGGTTCTTAAATTTAATTTAATGTACCTATACTAAAAACTTGGTTTTTATAACTTTTTGGTCCTCAAAAAAATAAAGCGGGAGGCGATGCCCCATATCAATATCGGTTTGCATTTTAACCTTTACCAAGGTTGGTATACATACTTACGTATGCTAGGTACCGAGTTAACCCCATATAAAGTTATGACCATTCGAAGTTTGAAAATTAAATTGATAAATTGATAATGTAATGATCGTTTTCAAATGTGCTAAAACTACTGTCAGTTCTTCTAAAACTGGCTACCATCCCTTTATAGAGTGGAAGGCAACCCATATTACTTCACATTTTATTAAAAATTTAATAATTAGAAATTAGAATTATATAGTTAATAAAATGTGATATATTAAATAAATGTTTAAAATCCATTGGGGTTTTGGCTCCAAAACTAGTACTAACAATGATGGACCAGAAATAAAAAAATATTAAATAAATTTCACACAATATTTCACTCAAGTAATGTAACAAATACTGAATTACTTTGCTATGACCATAGATAGTATCTATTAGCAACTGTAAGTGGCGTATCTATATTATTTATTATCCATGGTCATATCTATATTATTTAATTATTATTATTATTATTTGACGCTCCTTGTTACGCACACTCCTACCGCTATGTCGCTAGTTGTACCCGCCTGACATTTATAGGTTTTTGATTTTGGTTAATTTAGGTTATCCTGTCAAATTTTGACAGTCAAAATAATAAAAAATAAAAGGCCTAATAGTTTATTTAAATTGTTTATTTCAAAAGCAAAAATAAATGTATTACATTTTAAAATTCAATGTTTATGTTTTCAAGTGAATTTTAGCTTATTAAAGAACACAAATCAGTATAAAGTAATAATATTATGTACTACATTTGTGTACGTACTTCACTGTTTTAATAAAATAGTTATAATTGAATAAAACAAAACAACCTCGTCATCATTGTGAAAATTATGCATCATAACTTGACTCTTGAAGCAGCCCACAGCACAGCACAACACCATGTTAATGTTTAAATAATGTAGCTATATATATATAGAGTACACAGATAACGATAAATCGCAATTTTAAAAGTTTTTAAGCGTACAGAACAAACCATATAAACACAATATGAATTTACAAAACACTCAGGTTAGGTTCATAAAACAAACTGAACGTTGTTGATTTCGTTACCAAGCAACCGCCAAGATAAACCGCCGGTCCTGCCACATGTGCTACATGTGTAAACTAAGACCATAGTCGACTAGACAAAAATATCGATTTTGTTTGTTTTAGGCGAGTGCACAGGGCATGGCTATGACAATGGTTTATTTGTGTCGTAAACCAAAAACGTCAAAACCAGGTTTTTCTACTTTTTTGCACACAACTCGTTAAAATGAATTATTTTGTGATATTCCAGAAGAAGAAACACGTTAAAAGGTTAAAATAGTAATTATTATTGCAATATAGGTAGTTGGTTATACTCATGGTACTAGTACCACAGTTATACTTTTGTTGATTTTGTTTCAATATAATTAAATTTTTTTTTATTTTAAGCAGGTGTAATTATTATTTTATTTAATTTAAGTATTTATAAACAAAAGAATTTTTTTAATAATTAGTAACTTATTAAATTATTTTAACAATGAAAAAACTGTGTTATAGGTACATCAAAATAATGAAGACATATGATATAAAAAATAAAATATAAATTTTTAAAAACCAAAAAGAAACACAAGCTTCATCGCTAAAGTTCCTCCCACTTCTCTATCTCTTTTTGCTTCTTCTTATGCACATTTTAACCCTTAAACATGAACATCCTATTCGGGCTCTAAGCCAATTGATGGCTGTAAGGTTTATTCCATTTTAAGAAAGTCCTTTTTAAAAAGCTCTAATTATTGTTGAAATGTATATCCCAGATATCCATCACTAGATGTAACTATGTCTTTTTACCTGTGGTTTTCCCCGGTATGCTATGTCAGAATGCAGAATTGGTTCATCATTGATTATTGATTACCTAACAATTGTCTCAC